CGAGTCAAAAAGTTTGCCCACCCCTGGTCTATTTAGATCCTTTGCCCATTTTTTAATCGGGTTGTTGCCTTCCTTCTGTTAAGTTGTATGAGTCCCCCACATATTTTGGAGATTAACCCTTTATCAGATGTATCATTGGCGAATATGTTCTTCCATGCAGTGGGCTTTCTTGTTATTATTATTTTAAAAATATTTTTACTGATTTCAGAAAGGAAGGGAGAGGGCTAGAGAGATAGAAACATCAATGATGAGAGAGAATCATTGATTGGCCTCCTGCACATTCCACACCGGGGATCGAGCCTTTAACCTGGGCCTGTGCCCTGACCGGGAATCAAACTGTGACCCACGCCAACCGGGCTCTCTTGTTATTTTGATGGTGTTTTTTTTTGCTGTGCAGAAGCTTTTTATTTTCGAGTGAGTGACTTTTCATGTTTGCCATAGGGATTTCCTCTCCTGTAAGTTGCATATTCATCTTCTGTCCTTGTTCGATTAGTAAGGACTCGCTTACTGTTAGATATTTCCCCTGCAGAACAACCTTTGGCCAACAGAACGTGTGCTGTCTTTTTTTTTTCCTTACAAAAGTTTTAATTTTTAGTCAAACACATAATTTTCTAGTCTTGGTTAAGACTATATACTTTGTATAATATGTCATCTGTTAGATTGTTTTTCTTTCAGAAGTTTAACTTTTTATGTTTTAGACAGTTTGATTTTCTTCCAATGAATAAGCAGTTGTTGGAGCACCATGTGATCCAACTGTCCTGCTGTCCATCCTGTTTTGTGTCCCTCCTGAGTCATCTCTGAAATTGAACAGATAAATCATACTCTTTTCCCCCAAGAAAGTAATTTACTTCACAGGAGAACCTCCAGTATAGGCCTCTGTCCTGGGTGCTCCCGGGCGGCCCGAGGCGGACGGTGTGTGGGGAGTCCCCAGGCAGCGTGGAGTCTGCCTGCCTTCTCTGCTGAGAACACAAACTCATAATCCCCTACAGTTGGCACTGTTTCTGTGTCATTAAATTATACGTCTAGTCCCGTTAGAAATAGGGACAAGAGAAACCTCAGAAGCCATGAGGCCATCTAGCTGGTGGGGTCTCAGCAAGTACATGAAGGACGAGAAGCCCGATAGTGTGGCTGGTCGGTCAGCAGGGCCACTTTGTAAGGCCCTCAGGGTGGTGATAGCGTAGCTTTAAGAGGTACGTTATCTGTTCTTCAAGTTGCAGATAGCACGTAAGTAGAAAAAAATCACCTGAGTGCAGGCAACATCTTCAGTCTGGCTTTTGTATGAAAGAGAATGCAGAGCTGACCAAGGAATTGAAGTATGTTTGAGATACACACACACACTCTCACACACTTTGTCCTGCAGGGGCTGGGCCTGTATGCTGCTAGAGACATCGAGAAGCACACCATGGTCATTGAATACATTGGGACCATCATTCGAAATGAAGTAGCAAACAGAAAAGAGAAGCTTTATGAGTCTCAGGTGAGTGTCACAGCCACAAAGAGCGGAGACGGGGCCAGAGCTGACGGTCGTGCTGGGTTCAGTTTTGAACAAAAGCCCTGTCTGGAGCTTGTGTTTTCCTCATCTCCCCGTTAGTCTTCTCTTTCAGTCCCTGCTGCTGTTTGCAGAGATGTGTGCAGGTGAATGAGCCTGGCTGGTTTTCCAGGCCTCCGCCACTTCGTTAATTGCCATCATAGCGGTGTCAGCTGACGCTGCCGTCACATCGGTGGCTTGTGACCAGGGGCCTCTCAGGTCGCATCAGCTTAGGCCAGTGGTCGGCAAACTGCGGCTTGCAAGCCACATGCAGCTCTTTGGCCCCTTGAGTGTGGCTCTTCCACAAAATAACCACGTGCGGGCGCACACGTACAGTGCGATTGAAACTTCGTGGCCCATGCGCAGAAGTTGGTACTTTGTGGAAGAGCCGCACTCAAGGGGCCAAAGAGCCGCATGTGGCGACCACTGGCTTAGGCTTCCTGGTGCGAGCAGGACGGGAGAGGACTTTTAAGCTGTTTCTCTTTCAGAACCGCGGCGTGTACATGTTCCGCATGGATAACGACCACGTGATTGATGCAACGCTCACGGGAGGGCCTGCGAGGTGAGACTCAGTCTGATCAAGGCCTTTCCTGTCAGTGCGCCCTGTTGTCATAGCCTTCCAGGGAGCAACAGTTTAGAGCAGATACGTCCCAAAGGTTTTATTTAAAATTATATTGGTTCTTGTTCAGTAGATGAGCAAATAGGAGTGTAATTAGGAAAAAGTTTTCCCTATGAGCTGCAAGTTTTTCAAGCTTCTTCTAGTTGATGTATAGTTTTCTGAAATGGTGGTTTGCAGATACATCAACCATTCATGTGCACCTAACTGTGTGGCTGAGGTGGTGACTTTTGAGAGAGGACACAAAATCATCATCAGCTCCAACCGGAGAATCCAGAAAGGAGAAGAGGTAAGCGTGGGGGAGCTTTGCTGTGTGCGGATCGTGGGGTGTGGTTTCCACCTCTATACGGGTAACTCGTCCCGTGGTTTCCCAGTTCTTTATTCTGGACCCAGCCTTTCAGCGTAGGTCCCGTTGTTTGTCCGACATTCCACACAGCAGCATTACTTCCTGCCACCTCTCCTTGGTCCCTCCTCTGTTCCCCCATCATTCATGTGGCATCATTTCCTATGTCTGGGACTCCCCCCCCCACCCCCCCCTTACCCTGGTCACAGGTTGGCAGGATTCCTTTCTTTAACAATTAAAAGCCTGCAGAGCAAATCATGGCACCGTTGCCTCCTGTGGTCTCTGCCACGTGTGAGGCCACCACAGGGCTATAGGCAGCAGGGCTGGGGCACCCTCCACTCCAGGTGCTTGTATTCCCAGATAAGAGGAGAACACCCTTACAGGTTTTCACATCAACAGATTCTCACAACGTATAGTTGCTTTATTATCTGTTCTTCAGAATGCTAGGTGCCGACCTTGACGTTTCTTTGGTCTCACAGGTGACTTAAGATTAGTAGTTTGTTTGGTTTTAATATATTTTATTGATTTTTTTTTACAGAGAGGAGGGGAGAGGGATAGAGAGTTAGAAACATCAATGAGAGAGAAACTTCGATCAGCTGCCTCCTGCACACTCCCTACCGGGGATGTGCCCGCAACCAAGGTACATGCCCTTGACCGGAATCAAACCTGGGACCCTTCAGTCCACAGGCCGACACTCTATCCACTGAGCCAAACCGGTTAGGGCAAGATTATTAGTCTTGATTGCCTCATTTGTGTTTCCCGACTTAGTCGTTCACTAATGTGATCACGCATCACGGCAGCTCCAGAGCTGGAAAGCTCCCGCTGAGTGCCATGGGCCCAGTAGGAGCCCTCCCGTTCGGGTGGAAGGGGCCCTGGTGTCTTGTGGGTGTTGGAGCCCCCAGCCCTTTGTGGACAGAGCTATGGTATTTTGCTTGTGTTTCGGTCATCTTTTTGGAATTCCCTTTGTTAAATCAAGAACTGAACCAAGGCCTCTTTTGCACATCTTGTAACTCGATGAGGAACTAAGGGAGAAGTCCAGCACGGTGCCAGTGAGCACGGTGCCAATGAGCGTTGGTTCCTCCCGGGTTGGGCAGAGACTCCCAGCTGCCTTGACAACAGGCTTGGTCTGAGAAGTTAATAATTTGGTGACTCCTATAGGAAGATCTCTGAAAGACTAAGTGAGGAGCAATGGGGGAGAAGGATGGTAGCTGACGAGGGCGGTTTATCTCTGCCCGACCTGCAGTGCCCCGTTGGCCAGTGAGGGGAGGAGCCTGGAGCTCGGGGGCAGGGGACCCCGGTGCTCCGCCTGCAGGGCAGCGTGGTGAGCAGTTGTGAGATGCCCCTTCTCCCGCCAGCTGCCCTTCTCAGGCCTGGCTCGGCCTGCACATACTGCCTCCCGATTCCCTCGGTCCCTTTGGGATCCCAGGTAAACAGCCAGGCTTGTTTCTTTTATTGTTTGTTTTTGTTGCTAATCCTCACCCAAGGATGTTTTTCCATTGAGAGAGAGAAACCTCAGTGGGAGAGCGAGACGTCCATTGGTTGCCTCCCAGGGTTGGGGATGGAGCCTGCAACCAAAGTCCATGCCCTGGACTGGAGCTGAACCCGAGACCCTGCAGCCCGAGGGCTCTACCACTGAGCCACACTGGCGAGGGCCAGGCTTGTTTACTTCTTCAAGAGGTTC